CAGGTGGGATCTTCCCGAAACAGGGCACGAACCCGCGTCTCCTGCATCGGCAGGCGGACTCTCAACCACTGCGCCACCAGGGAAGCCCACTGACTCATTTTTATATATCCATGGTAGTAATGGTAATAACTACTCTTTACAGAGTGGCGCGTGTGTCAGTACTTTCCACACAGAGGTTTAATTCCCACAAGGAGCCTCTACCACTATTGCTACCTAACGATAAAATAATTAGGTTAAGTACTTATTTGCTCCAACTCATATGACTAATAACCAGGAAGATCTAAGTTGAAGCCATGATCTGTCCATCCCTTAAGCCTGGCTCTCCCCAGATACCCTGTCATATGCTGCATCATCATCCCGGTAGTCATTATGGGACTAATTCCTCATTCCCTCCCCCAGTAGAAATGATTTCACCTCCATTCATACATTATGCAAAGTCCATGCGTCTGTTTCTTCAGTAAAGGATGTGTATCTGTAAACGTCAACGCTCTTCACCATTCTCTCCCTCATCTAAGGTAGAAACTGCACCTGTTTTAAATGCCTTGAAAGCTATGACAGCTACACGTCCAAGATTTTCAGAGACGTTGCTGATTTGAAATGTTGGGTGCACTGTTCTTGACGGAGTCCAGCCTTTCACCCTCCATAACACTCCCAGACCGCCTGCCACACTCATGCTCTCTTGAAGTCCCAAGTGAAAAACTGCTTCCTGGAAATCTTGCTCTGCTCCCCGCGCCATCCTCCCCGCCCTAGAAAAGGACCGGCAGCTCCTCTGAGCTTTCTGCTGCTTTGTTCTTTCCACCCATTTTAGAGCTAATCCCCGTCTATTAATTCCAAAAGCTCAAGGACTGTGTCTTACTTGTTCATTTTGGGGGGAAAACGTGGATATGTTCCCCAGCATCTGCTACATAGCACTTGGTACAGAATACGCACCACGTAATCATAAAAGGAATGGAAGTCCTTTCAGTCTTTCGGGCCGCCTTTCTGGTTCTATAAATACAGCCAGCGTAAGTGTTTGGCACTTTGCAGAGGGTGGGCTTTGCAGACTGATATTTAGTGAAGCCCCTGGGTGATGGTTAGCATTTTCAGAGTTTTTTTCTTTTCCTCGTCTTCCTTTCACACAGATGTATCACGACATCATGCTTGCACTTGAGGCTGCAAGCAAGGATGATTCAGCCATAACTGTTTTAACAGGTGAGACATTTTCTTAGATTTCTAGTTAAATTTCTATTTGGGGGGATTTTCATCTAGGTAGGAAATTGAGTAAATAGGCTCTAATATCTTTCCTAGTGCTAAGATACTCTAATTCTTAAATACATAAAAAATACGATAGACACAGGATTGATATCTTTATCACGTAAAAAGCAGATACAAATTGGTAAGAAAAGTACTAAGACCTATTAGATAAACGGGTGAGTAAAATGAACAGATAATTTATATGAGAAAGTCCAGGCATTAAAGAAACAAGGACAATGCAACCAGATTAATAAACACAAACCGAAATCAAAACGATGAGATACCACTTTATACTTACCTGAATTAGCAAAATTTCATGTTATACCCAATTTTGACAAGGTTATGGTAGAATAAATGCCTCTACTCCCTTGCTGACAGCAGTGTAATGGCTATAAAAAGTGTAAGTAGCTAAGGAAAGGGCATTTGACAGTATGTAAAATGTTCATATACTTTGATACAGGAATCCCACTTATGGGAGTTTATTTTAGGGAAATTATCCAAGAAAAAGGAAAGGTCTTATGCAAGAAAGGTAATCTTTGCAGCATTACTTATAATTGTGAAAATGCTAAAACGTTGTAAATATGCTGCATGACAGAATAATAAAGCACATTATAGAACATCCAGTAGACTATATATTGTACAAGTATTAAAAAGTACAACTCTGAAAACCAACAGTATAGCAAATGTTTAAGATATAATAAAAAGCGTTAGCAATTATATCAGCACTGTGATAATAAGTGGAAAATATGATGGATGCTCCTGGGCCTGGGCTGATGAGAACTCAGAGAATGGAAGTCGTTGAACCTGGAAGGGGCACTGCGTGTAGTGGTGCAAGCTGAGGGTCAGGACTCAGATCAACTGGAGTTTAAATCCAGGCTTCATTCCTCACTACCTGTGGGCGACCTCTGCTTCCTGAATGGAGAAGACAGTGTCTTCCTAACCCCACAGAATGGTCGAGGTGGTGGCACAAGACAGTGCAGGGCAGGGCTCACAGCAGGTACTTGGGAGACGGGAGCTGTTACCGTGTGTTGACGCAGTGGAAGCAGGACTGATTTTATTATTTTATTTATTTTCTTTTTTGGCCACGCCATGCAACTTGCAGGATCTTAGTTCCCCAACCAGGGATTGAACCTGCACCCTTGGCAGTGAAAGTGCGGCGTCCTAACCACTGGACCACCAGGGAATTCCCAGAGTGATTTTATTTTCTTTTAATTTTCATTAAAATTTGTAAAATATATAATATTATATAGAGATATCAGAGAGCTTTCAGTAAAAAAGGGAGATGGGGAGAAAGAGAGATACCTAACAGCTGATGAGAGGGGGTGAAGGAAAGGGAAGAGTTGAGCATGGGCCGTGTATTTCACAAATACACCTCGGAGAATGGAGGCAACAAAATCAGTCTAGAGGTGGCGTTGGCTTGATACAGGAGAAGAATGTTTTCTGGTTTTTTAATTTAAAAAATGTTTTTAACATCTTTATTGGAGTATAATTGCTTTACAATGGTGTGTTAGTTTCTGCTCTATAACGAAGTCAGTCAGCTATACATATACATAAACATTTTTTTAACTAAAAGTATAATACAGGCACATGGTTTTTTAAAAAAATCCAAAACCTGTGAAATGGCATATAACAAAACTAAATCTCACTCTCCTTGGAACCCCAGTCTTGCTTCCTAGAAAAACTCAGCTTTTCCTGAGCCTTCCAGAAACTGCCCATGTGTGTATGTGTGTGTACCCCGCCTCTTGTAAACATAAAAGGAAGCATATAGTACATACATACTATACCCACTTTCTCCTAACAGCATATCCCGAAAAATTGTTCTCTGTCAGCACGTATACATCTAAGTTTTTCTCTGCAGGACTACAAAGTATGAAAGTTTTGGGATTCCGTAATTTATTTCATCATTCCTGTATTGACGAATGGGTAGACCGTACTTAGTCTTTTGCTATTAAAATCATGCTGCAAGGGTATCCTTGGACATATGTCTTGCAGCGAATGTGCAAAATCCAAAGGCTATATTCTTAGAAGTGAAGTTGCTGGTTTCGTAATAATGGTAATAACGGCTAACGTTTTTATCATACTTCCTGTTTGCTGAGCACTGGTCTAAGCATTTTAATTCATCTGATAGCTTTTTGATTCTTCACTTTTCTAAGCTTTCTTGCAATAACCCTGTGAGGTTAGGCCCTATTATTACTTGTATCTTACAGGTGAGGAAACTGAAAGGTTAGGTTTTGATAAATAGCGCTTTTCCTGTAGTGATTTTCTGTATATCCTTCACGTTCGTTTTCCAGTTCCTGTTTGATCTAAACGTTGTAATAGTAGGTCCTTTAATTTCCAGAAAGGATTTTTTTTTTTTTTTGGTTTTCCATTTCTGTTATCAATTCCTAGTTTATTGTATTATAATCAGAAATGATTGGTTTTACTAATTTTACTTTTTTTAGAATCTATTAAAATTTCGTGTATATTAGCTATATATTGAAATCTCTGACTTGAAGATTAAGAATCAACAAAATGGCCAATATTTTATGTCATCCAGGCACACTTAAAAAGTAAGTTCAGGCACTTCCCTGGTGGTCCAGTGGCTAAGATTCCGTGTCCCCAGTGCAGGGGGCACCGGTTCAATCCCTGGTCGGGGAACTAAGATCCCACGTGCCACACGGTGCAGCCAAAAAAATAATAGTAATGAAAAAATGTTTTAAATAAAAAAGAAATTTAAAAAAATTAAAAGTTCATTCTTGATTTTTAAGGTATAGAGTTACAATTATAGCAATTAGACTTGCCTCTCTAATTCATGTTATATAGGTTTCCTAAATTCTGTTTTCTAATTTGTCTGGACTGAAAAAAGAAGATTAAAGGCATCTGTTTCTCTCAGCCCATGCTACGCTGGGTGCCCCCCTCCCCAGAGCCTTTGCACATACTGTCACCGCTGGAGAATATTCCCCCCACCCTCTTTCCATCTACCCCTTCCCGTGTCCTCAGATCTCAGTCCAGTCATTCCCGCCTTAGCAAAGTCCCTCCCTGAACCCCCAGGTGAGAGCAGAGCCCCATTGCCTGCTCTCCTGTCCTCGTGTCCCTTTGCATCATCATAGTTGCATTGCCTACTGTTATTCGTGTGTCTTTAAAGGTCCAGCTGACTCCCTGGTCTGTCAATTAGGGCAGGACCCCAGCTGGTCCACCAGTGTATTTCCAGAGCTTGGTACAGAGCCTGGCACATACAAGATGCCCAGTGACTACTATAGAGTGAGTGAGTGCTGGATCCATGGATTTTGTTTACAGGCAATGGGGACTATTATTGTAGTGGGAATGATCTGACCAACTTCACGGATATTCCCCCTGGCGGAGTGGAGGAGAAAGCCAGAAGCGGGGCCGTTTTACTGAGGTGAGAGCACGTCTGTCTCATCCCGGGGGGCTTATCCTTATCGGTGTGGGGTCTTCAGCTGCGCCAAAGTAGAATAAATACTTCTTAGGTTCCGTGTAATTGGCTGTGACTTTAGGCAAGCATATTTCTCCAAACTTCTATCAGTAGGGGGCATTTGCTCCATCACTGTAACTTCTGTTACCCGTTCTCCTGGCCTCCCTACACCACATTTGACTGGAAAGCATACAAGTCAACTACCGCTACCAATTAAATTCTCCCATATTGAGGCAGAGGAATTTAGCAGCTTCTCCTCTGGCCAGAGGAAGGCGTGACTGCCATGATCGCTGCTCATAGGAGACTTGAAATGGTCTTGGAAAACACAGAGGGCGTGAAGGCGCCTCCTCCCGCCTCATTAGTCCCCGCTGCGTCTCTGGTGCCCACCGAGCTGTGATACCACAGCACGTGCTGGCGGCCACCCTAGCCTCTGAGTCTGCAGCTGGCTTACGTCCCTGACCGAATGCCTAGAACGAAAGATTTGAACCAAGGCTGACCTGTGGGACTCTGCGAGTTTCCCTCAAGTGCCGTTCAGATGGGAGGAGCCTGGTGCGAGAGGCCGGGGAGGTGGCAGGGCAGAGAGGCACTGCTGGGCTATGGGAAACTCAGCAGTCTGGCCAGAAAAGCACGTTCCAGACTCACCCTGTCTCACCTGCATACTTCAGTGATGCTACTTTGGCATATTTAAACATGCTTTTATATTTCCACGTCTGTAGGGGTTTTGTCGACTGTTTCATAGATTTTCCGAAGCCTCTGGTTGCAGTGGTAAATGGACCAGCTGTAGGAATCTCCGTCACCATTCTCGGGCTATTTGATATCGTGTATGCGACCGACAGGGTAAGTCAGCTCCCGGAAATGTATGAAGTTATGCAAGTAAAAAAGAGATCCTCTGAATTCTCCTTTATTGTTGCTGGTAGTAAACAGATTACATATGGTTTATGGTAGAATGGACCGAATTTAAATTTTTCCCAAAGAATTAGTCTAATATGACGCTTTTTTTTTCCTTTACTATTAACTTGAATTTTCCTAAACACAAATATTGTTGTGAACATTTTTGCCCCAGCTCTTTTGGCTCTGTGCTCTAATCCTATTACACAACACTTGTTCATTTTTACTCTAAAATAGTCAGGAACCTTCAAAGCTTGTTAGCAGGGGGCAAAAAATAGCTGCTTTGGAGGTTATGCAAGTGAGTTATTTGATCATTTTTTCCAAGTAAATGAATCCTGGAATTTATAAATCCAGAATAAGGAAGAACTTTCAGGCGTTATTCTACCTTCACTCCCTCCTTTGCAGATAAGAAAACCAAAGCTCAGAGAAGTCGTGTTCACCATTGAATTACATAGATTTTAATTTTTCTTCCTACTACAGTCATAATATATGTCATAGTAGAAAATAAAATGTTGGAAAATATGGAAAAGTACAAAGAAAAGAGTTAATTTAAAAGTCACTCCTTATCTCACCACTCAGATAAGCAGTGCTAACATTTGGGTTATTTAACTTATCTAATTTAACCAGTCCCTGACACTGGAACCCTAGAATATTTCCAGTTTTTATCCTTATAAACAAAACTGTGATGAACGTTTATCTCAGAACTTTTACTGTAGAACTAATAACCACCTCTTAGGGTTATTATCAGATTCTTAGAGTGACTGTTGCTTCTGTGGCAGTAAAATTTGCTAATGTACATACAGCCTTGCAGGGAACATTTGGTTTTTACCACTGAAGAGATTCCTGGCTTTGTTTAGAGGTATTTTCTCCACTAAAAGGTCCGTATATTAGGGTCCTTAACTCTTTGGCTCATCTTTTACTGGATTCCTTTCAATGAGATTGGGCATATTGTCAGATCTAATTTTTACTCATAATTTTCCCATAAAAATAGCAAATGGAAGTCTAGACGCTAGGCTACCTAACCTTTTGTAGGTAGAAGTTTCTGCTCAAAGGCAGAAATTAACAGTCTTCGGTCACATTCTGTGTGTTAAATGACCAATTAATTGACCTGCTTTGAGCAGGGTGGGAGCAGGAGTTCCTGACCTGAACTTGGGGTCTCATTCTTCAGTACTTGGAGGCCAGTATCATCATATTTGAATCTTGTCCCGATTCTCCCACTGGATTCCAAATGATTGTCATGTACATCATCATTTTAAAGATTTCTAGGACTCCCATCTTAACGATACAATTTGAATTAAAATTGAAATCAGAGGGAAATGCGTATATATTATGTATGCTAAAAGATTGGGCCCAAAGTAAAATATTTGACAAATGGTGGCCACTGCTAAGAGTTCACCCAACTGAATTAAACCACGGTTCAATTTAAAATCAGGCAAAGACACAGAAGAAAGAAGCTGTGGAGAGGAGTTCATTTTACAGGGTTTCTCATTCCTGGCTTCATGAATAGATACCATATTAAATGTCGGTTAACATTTAACCCATATAACCAAGTTATTCTTTATTATGGGCAATAAGTAGTGCCTCTGCCTATTAGCTTCTCTGTCAGCAAACAGTACATTTCCTCTTTGAGTTAATAAAAAGGCAGAAATCATAACAGTAATAGATCTTTGAGCGCTCAGTATCTAGGAGGCACTCTGCTGGTGCACATTATATGTGTTCAGTAAATGCCCACGTTAACTGCCCTGCGAGGCAGGTGCTCTCATCCCATTTTACAGATGAGAAAACCGTGGCACAGAGAAGTTAAGAGGCTCCAGGGTCACCAGGCAGCCTGACGCCAGCATCTAACCCTTAACTACATCTACTGCTCCATTGCTTATAATAATGTTTATAAGTGAATTAAATGCTGCTTATTATCAGCTTTCCACGCACCTGTTTGTGGCTCTTACCAAGGGCGGCTTCTTCTTTCAGTTTTCTGGTCATGTTCCTTAGGCTGTGACTTCTCAGCACATTTTCTCCAATACGCTTTCTTTCAGGGGGGAAAAGAGAAGACAGGTGACATTAATAACTATTTACTTTATACTTTTATTATTTTGATTTGTATGCTTTGTACATTATATGTTTATATCTTCTAGCAATATTCATTTAAAAAAAACCCGCCATACCTGATTATGGGAAATGAAGTCTAAGTATGCTGTTTACGGAATTGTTGATTATAAGTTAACTTCCTTTCATAAGAACTTTTCATTCATCAAGAAACACACAAAACTATTTCTGACATCTAGAAAAAAACTACAAATGACTCTCTAGTCTAAATAACCAATATTAAAGTAGTTTCTGGTATTTAAAACCAATCAAGAAACCTCTGGGGCAAAATGAAGACAAATGGCAGATTGAGGAAGTAATTTTTCAACTCACAATAGAGGTTAACCTTTCTAATATATTTTTTTAAATGTGTCTATAAAGTGGGCTTCCCTGGTGGCGCAGTGGTTGAGAGTCCGCCAGCCGATGCAGGGGACACGGGTTTGTGCCCCGGTCCGGGAGGATCCCACGTGCCGTGGAGCGGCTGGGCCCGCGGGCCATGGCCGCAGAGCCTGCGCGTCTGGTGCTCCGCAGCGGGAGAGGCCACAACAGTGAGAGGCCCACCTACTGCAAAAACAAACAAACAAACAAACAAAATGTGTCTATAAAGTGATGGATCAACAAATTAATATAAAAATACACGACAGAGAGGAATAAATAGCCCACAGAAAAGAAAGTATAAATGGCTCTTAAAAACACGTGAGAAAGACACCATTAAGAAAAGGACTTGTAGGGACTTCCCTGGTGGTGCAGGGGTTAAGAATCTGCCTGCCGCTGCAGGGGACACGGGTTCAAGCCGTGGCCTGGGGAGATCCCACATGCCGAGGAGCAACTAAGCCCGTGCACCACAACTACTGAGCCTGCGTTCTAGAGCCCGCGAGCCACAACTACTGAGCCCTCATGCCACAACTACTGAAGCCCACGTGCCTACAGCCCATGCTCCACAACAAGGGAAGCCACCGCAATGAGAAGCCCACGCATCGCAATGAAGAGTAGCCCCCGCTCGCCGCAACTAGAGAAAGCCCGTGTGCAGCAACAAAGACCCAGTGCAGCTGTAAATTAATTAATTAATTAATTTAAAAAAAAAAGACAACCAAAATCCAACTTAAAAATAGTGGGCAAAGTATTGCAAGCTACTCTTCACCAAAGAAGGTCTGCAAACGGCTGATAAACACACGGAAAGATGCTCAACATCATTAGTCATTAGGGAGCAGCAGGTTAAAACCACACCAAGGGCTTCCCTGCTGGCGCAGTGGTTGAGAGTCCGCCTGCCGATGCAGGGGACACGGGTTCGTGCCCCGGTCCAGGAAGATCCCACATGCCGCGGAACGGCTGGGCCCGTGAGCCATGGCCACTGAGCCTGCGCGTCCGGAGCCTGGGCGCCGCAACGGGAGAGGCCACTACGGTGAGGGGCCCGCGTACCGCAAAAAAAAAAGAAAACCACACTGAGACACCGCAACACACCTACTAGAGTGGGTAAAATTGAAAAGACTAAGGATAACGACAGGTTTAGGGAGAACGCGGAGTGGTTGGAACTCCCTGCTGCACCTCGGAAAATAGTCTGGCAATATCTCAGAAAGTTACACCACACATGAACCACACAGCCCAGCAATTGCATGCCTGGGCATTTACCCGAGAGAGTTGAAAATACACCTTCATCATAACCTTATTCATAATATCCAGAATACTGGAAATACCACAGTGGCTCCAACTGGTGAATGGATAAACGAATTATGACACATCCATACAATGGAATACTTCTCAGAAATAAGAAGGAACAAACCCTAATATGTGCAGTAACAACGTGGTGACTCAAGAGCCTTCTGCTGAGGACAGAAGCCCACAAAAGGAGAAGAGGCTACAGAATGTGTGATTCCATTTATATACATTCTAGAAAAGGCAGAACTGTAGGAACAAATCAGATCAGTGGTTGCTTGAGGGTGAGAGACTGACTGCAGAAGGGGCATGAGGAAACTTTGGCGTGGGGGGGTGATAGAAATATTCTATATCTTGGTCATGGTAGTGGCTGCATAACTGTATACATTTGTTTAAAACTCATCAAACCGCATACGTTAAGAGTGGATTTTGTGTGTATACAGGCAGACCTCAGAGATATTGTGGGTTTGGTTCCAGACCACCACAATAAAGCAAATATCACAATAAAGTGAGTCACGGGACTTTTTTGGTTTCCCAATACATATAAATGTTATGTTTACATTATACTGTAGTCTGTTAAGCATGTAATAGCATTATGTCTCAGAAAACAATCAGACATTTTAAAACAGCTTTAATTAAAAAATAACGCTGTTGGGAAAATGGCACCAGCAGACTTGCTCGACTTAGGGTTGCCCCAAACCTTCCATTTGTAAGAAAAAAATAAAAATGCAGTATCTGCGAAGCACAATAAAGCAAAGCACAATAAAAGGAGGTCTGCCTGTATAATAATACAATAACCCTAATTTTTTTTTAAGTTCTTCAGTTAAGTATTGTAAGGAGGATAGAAACAAATAGTGATTTCTTTGAAATCGCATGTGAAAAGATGATTTTCTTGTCTCTCTTTTTTCTCTCTTCAAAAAGGCAACATTTCATACTCCATTCAGTCACCTAGGCCAGAGTCCAGAAGGATGCTCCTCTTACACTTTTCCGAAGATAATGGGCCCAAGCAAGGTAATTTTTGGAAACCTTAAAACGAAATGTAGTGTCATCTCCATTCCAAAAGTAACCCCACACTCTCTGTTCTTTCCCTCTATCGTAGAGGCAGCAGACGGAAGCGAACTATTTGCTCCCCAACTCCAAGAGTTTTAAACATAGAGGAACCAGGCTGTGGGAAGCCTCTGGTCCGCAGGGAAATTTAGACGCTCTGTCCCCAAACTGGGGGTGACTCTCAGCTGGGTGCCCTGTGCTCCCAGCACCGCTCCTGGCCCCCACAGCCTTTTCTCCAGACTGTCCCACGGGGCAGCAAGGCTCCAAGGGGCCCAGTGGCCGCTCAGGTCTGTCCCTGCAGTTATGGAAACCTAGGTGCCCACCCTTGGTGGGCAGGACCCCAAGGGGATCATGACAAGACTGAGAGCCGGGGGTAGGGAGAGGCTTAGCAAACATCCTTCGGGATCTGAAAGGGGGGTGGTGGGAATTGAGCCTCTGTTCGTTGCTATTAGGTTTTCATTGAAAAAAATGTATATTTTTAAAATCTCTCTCTTTTCTTTTGTTTCTGGACATGCCATGCGGCTTGCAGGATCTCAGTTCCCCGATTGGGGATTGAACCCCGGCCACGGCAGTGTGAGAGCCTGAAATCCTAACCATTAGGCCCCCAAGGAATTCCCCTTTTAAATCTCTTTCTTCAGTCACGTGCCCTGAATTCTCATACAGCTTTGAACTTTGAAAATTTGGGCAGACCCAACCCTAAGGCTTAGAACATTTGACTCTGAAACCGTCTTTCATTTTCTGGAAGAGAAATTGCAAACATGGGAAAGGATATCCACTTGGTGTCCCCAGTATTGTTAGAAACTGAACATCAGTCTCCCTCACTTTCCTTCAGTTAAGTGGAGCTCATTGGAGTACCTGGGCAGGTAAAGAAAACTGTCAGAGCCAGACCACTGTGTGAATTTCCAGGGAAAGGAATTTTAAAATATATATGTATTTATTTATTTATTTATTTTATTTATTTTGGCTGCGCCACATCTCAGTTGCAGCACGTGGGATCTTCAGTTGCAGCATGCAGACTCTTAATTGAGGCGTGCAGGATCTAGTTGCGCAACCAGGGATCAAGCCCAGACCCCCTGCATTGGGAGCGTGGAGTCTTACCCGCTGGACCGCCAGGGAAGTCCCCAGGGAAGGGAATTTTGACAGTTGGTGTGCCTAAATGTTGGTTGGCATTTCCTATGACGGTGATTTTTCTTTTTGTTTTATAATTGTTTATAGTGTATAAAACAGGAACTCATTGCTGCCGTGTGTCGTAGAATCAACACCTGCCTCTCAGCCTTTCTGCCCCAGGCTCCCAGCTCTTTTTGCTCCGCATCGTAGACAAACACAGAAGCAGCAACCTCTACAAACTGTCCAGAAAGCTAATGGTCTCAGCACAAAGCTGGCAAACCGTTGCCTGTGGCACCATCAGTTTCTCCCTTAATGAGAAATACTGGCAACCTCAGACCAGAAGCAGGGGTCCCTGTGTCTCTACTGAGAGCAGTTCCTCCTGAAGTTAGCTGAGCCTCGTTTCATCGCGTTAACGTCTCAGTCCCGCTTTTCATTTCAGGCAACAGAGATGCTCGTTTTTGGGAAGAAGTTGACAGCCCGGGAAGCCTGCGCCCAAGGACTTGTTACTGAAGTTTTTCCCGACAGCACTTTTCAGAAGGAAGTTTGGGCCAGGCTGAAAGCATATTCAAAGCTCCCCCCAAATGTTAGTATTCGTTTTTTTGTGTGTTTTGTTTTGCTTGTAAGAACCATGCAGATCTTCTGTTTGCCTTAAGAGAATAAGCAATTTAAAAAACAAGACAGCTGGCTCTGAGCACATCTAAATCTGAGATTAAAAGCAAGCCTAATAGGGCTTCCCTGGTGGCGCAGTGGTTGAGGGTCCGCCTGCCGATGCAGGGGACACGGGTTCGCGCCCCAGTCTGGGAAGATCCCACATGCCGCGGAGCGGCTGGGCCCGTGAGCCCTGGCCGCTGAGCCTGCGCGTCCGGAGCCTGTGCTCCGCAACGGGAGAGGCCACAGCAGTGAGAGGCCCGCGTACCGCCAAAAAAATCTTGGATTATAATTGCCCATTTATTTCCTTACCCTTTCTACATTTTGAAATCTTTGAGGATGGGAACCTTGTCTTCAGGGCCTGGCACAGTTCTAGGCAAATGTAAATCATTTTGTGGAAGGGAGGGAGGGAGGAAGGGAGGGAACATAGGTAGGTTAAAGCAGAAAGGGACTTTCAAGATACCTAGATAGACTTCTTCATATTACGGATCAAAACCTTGAAGGTCTGCTTTATCCCCATCTTTCTTTTATGTGTTTTAGGAAAGTGATTGGTGAGGAGTGAGGGGCATTTAAAAGCTCCCATTTGCTCCTTCAGGGCCAAAGTTTGGTAAGACTTACTGGATCCCCTGATGGGCCCTGTGCACCCCCAAAGCCTGGATCTCCTCTCGTTCCTTTCAGGCCCGGAAGGCCCAGGAGACCTGGTGGCCCAGGCAGGCCTGGCTCCCCAGGTGGTCCAATGTTTGGGACACCACCATCACAAGCACAAAAACCTGAGTCCAAAAAAAAAAAAAAAAAAAAAAAAAAAGCAAGCCTAATAATGTTAGAAATGCTGATTTTTATAAAACTTATCAAATAGCCATTCCATTTCTGTGCTGTGGAGACAGAGGGGCGGTTCTTTCTGGGCACCACTTTGAGGAGGTTGATAGGCAACCTTTGCCAGCACTTTCATCCTTGGATCCAGGTGAGCAGCCAGACAGGTTAACTTTGAGGAGATTCTGACCACGCAGCACTTTTCGTTTTTATATGTGATAGCTGGTGACTGATTTTGTCATGTTCTCACTGCTCAAAATGTGGTCCTGGAGCCAGAAGCTTTGGTTTCTATCTACAGCTTCTTAGAAATGTGTGATCACAAGCCCCGCCCCACACCTGCTGGGAGGATGTGTGCACACACGAACGTTTGAGGAACAGTGTCTTATCTACACATATTTCTTAAGGTGTCATAGGATCAAATGAACTACAGAGAAACAAGCATCAGAATTCTAGAATAATCTCACTCCTCTTAGAACGCCTCTTAACCTCACTGTTGGTTTTATTTTTTCAGGCCATGAGAATTTCAAAACAGGTCATCAGAAATAGGGAGAAAGAAAAGTTGCATGCGATTAATGCTGAAGAAAGCAGCACCCTGCAGGAGAGGTGGCTGTCAGATGAGTGCGTGAACGCCGTCTTGAGCTTCCTGTCCAAAAAAGCAAAGCTGTGACGGCCATCACATCAAAGCTAAACGTTTCCAAGGAAGGGCTGTGCTACTATTTCTGCTTTCCAATTCCTGAGCTAAGTAAACCTCGCTGTGCCTTTTTTCAGTGGTGCTAAGATACCAGTTATGATAAAATTATACTTCACTAGAGCCCTGATGAAAAACAAATGACGTGAAACCAGCTTTGAGAATTTACGTAGGTTTTTGGTAGTGGGGAGTCTTACGTCTTTCGCTGTGAATTGCTGTTGCCAGGCACACTGAAACATTGTGCCCGGCATCCTGCTCTGAAAGGCATTCACAGTGTTGCAGGCTGAGACCGTGTGTTGGAAAACCACTACTGCACTTTGCCGTCCACACAGGCTCACTGACTTGATCGGCCCAAACACCAACAGTCTCTGGATGACCGAGTCAAGATCTTCAGTGGGTTGCGTGTTCTTTTTCAGCCGTCTGGCAGGGGGAGCAAACAGAAGGAGCAATATTACTAGAGGATGAATTAGAATCTTAGTTTCATCCCCCCGCCTATAATTTGATAAAAAGGGATGAAGGGATTCGATCGTTTCATTGGAAAGTGATGTTCTGTATCAGGGATTATTTCCTCATTTATTGTATAGTCTTCATTCTCGTTTAATGTGGTCCTTTATAAAAAGCACACCTGAAAGCTGCCTTAACTGTCCTTGTGACTTTCTGTTTCGATGGCTGCCATATGAATCACTTGACAAGAGTCTAATTCCAGTGGCTGTAGGATTGGCATGGAATATTTTGCTCTTCTAAATGTCCTCCTTCCTTTTTAACCTCCTTCAAGCATCAGCATCCAGATAGCCAACCCACCGAACCTCTAACTTCTTAATTTTTTTATTCCAGTAAAATCCTAATGCAAAGTGTTCACTCTTATAGGAAGTATATTAATAGTAATAACCCATTCATGTTTACTGAGCACTTACTATTTGTTTCTAGTGCTTAATGCCCATAAGCACATTTTGTCCTCAAAAAACAATGCCAAAAATTAAAAATGAGGTAAGCTGTTGCTGCTACCCATTTACAAGTAAGGAGTCCAAGGCATGGAGATGTAAGTAGCTTTTCCAGAGTCAGAGTCCCAGTAAGGGTCAGAGAGTCCCAGCCCCACTGTGTCCCCGTGAGCCGCCCATCCCTCCCACTGACTTCAACTAACATCTCTGGGGAAAAGGTGAAAAACAATGGCTTGAGGATGCTGAAATTAAACAAAAGCAGATGGATTGTGGTAAGGCATCAAAATGTGGAGAAGCATCTGCCCATGAGTTTCTGAGATTGTGGGACATTAGGAAACCATTGCTAGGATCTCTGTCCTAAGCACGGGACATATGCCCCAAAGGCAGGCCCAACTGTGCAGCAGTGCAGTGGTTGCCATGGTGTGACTGGCAAAAGAAAATTTGAGGCCAAGAAGAACATCTCTCTAACCACGAAAAGGATTCCCTGGGGCTGGAGAGGAGAATCCCAGAGCAGAGAAGGAGTGAGATGCTCCCCTAATTCTAGGTATAAACCTACACAGCTTAGGTTCACAAGTGGGACAGGCTCAAACCAACATGGTAAAGGCTTTGGGAAGTAAACGGATTTTAAGCACCACTAACACAAGATCAAGACAGCTTGTAGTCTCAACCTAAGCAGGTTGATTACTTACTAAAACAAAACCATCAACATTCTTCAGATAATTCAACAAAATTCAGGGTCCAGGCAACATAATATTCACAGTGTCCATGATACAATCCAAAATTATTGACATACAAAAGACCATGCAAATGTGAACACTAAGGTGAAAAAAGACAACACATGTCAATCCCGAGATGACCTAGATATTGGAATTGTCCCACAAAGACTTTAAAGCAGTTCTCATAACTGTGCTCCACAAGGTAAAGAAAAACACACTTGAAATGATTAAAACTACATGAATTCTCATCAGAGAAACTACAAAAAAAAAAGAACCAAATATTTAGAACTGAAAATCTGAAATTTAAAAATAATTCTCTAGGGAATCCCAGGTATTCCAGTGGTTAGGACTCAGCACTTTCACTGTGGTGGCCCGGGTTCGATCCCACAAGCTGCGTGATGTGGCAAAAAAAAAAAAAAAAAAAATGCTCTGGAGGGACTCTAGCAGAATGTAGATGACAAAGGAGTCAAAGAACCTAGAAGATAAATCAACAGAAACTAAGCAATGTGAAGTACAGAGAAAAAAATACTAGGAAAAATAAATAAGCAGAGGGACATCAGCAAGATGTTGGAAGTTTCAGGAGAGGCCACAACAGTGAGGCCCACGTACCGGAAAAAAAAAAAAAGATACGGACATAATATGATAAAAGGGTCAAGACAGCAAGAAGATATAACAATTATAAACATTTACACACTAATATTAGAGCTCCAATATATATAAGGAAACTGGCAGAACTGAAGGGAGAAACAGCCTACAATCATAGTAGGAGACTTCAATACCCCACTTTCAATAGTGGATAGAAAACCAGACAAGATCAATAGGGAAATAGAGAACTTGGACAACACCATAGATCCCTTGGACCTAACAGGTGTGTACAGAACACCGAACTACAACAGAATACACATTTTTCTCAAGTGCACATGGAACATTAACCAGGAAAGATCATATGTTTGGCCACAGAACAAGTGTTAATAATTTTTTTTTTTTTTTTTTTTTTTTGCGGTACGTGGGCCTCTCACTGCTGCGGCCTCTCCCATTGCAGAGCACAGGCTCCGGACGCGCAGGCTCAGCGGCCATGGCTCACAGGCCCAGCCGCTCCGCGGCATGTGGGATCTTCCCGGACCGGGGCACGAACCCGTGTCCCCCACATCGGCAGGCGGACTCTCAACCACTGCGCCACCAGGGAAGCCCTAAATTTAAAAAGTGTAATATCATATATCTTTTTCTAATTACAATGGAATTAAACTAGAAATCAACAGCAGAAGGAAAACTGGAAAATCCACAAATATACAGCAATTAAACAACACACCTTTAAACCACCAATGAGTCAAAGGGGAAATTAGAATATATCGTGAAACAAATGAAATAAAAACATACCAAAACTTGTGGGATAAAGTCAAATCAGTGCTAAGCGGAAAATTTATAGCTGTACATGCTTACGTTTAAAAGAAGAAATCTTGTAGACTAGGTGTAAAGCCGAAGTTCTGCCACTCATATGATATTATCCTAGGTCCCTGGTCATGCTTGGGGTGGGCTGGTGCTTCCCAATTCATGCAGCATAAAAGCCCTACAGCCCGGTGGTTGGGTCCCTAAGAATCCCTCTCCAGCCCTGCTAGGTCTCTGCTCACTGACCTGGAATGCGATGGCCCGTGGGGAACCCACACACCTGCTCCAGTCTCCATGAGTTTTCTCCCATTGAGGGCTCCTGCAGACACGGGGAGGTGTGAAAATGGGACCCATGCGCTTTTATACAGAGCAATGCTTGTTTTCACACTCACCGTATATGCCAAAGACAACATTAAGTCATTTTTTAGCTTTTTAAGGCATAAAGAGGGTTTGTGGTCACCCTATCCATGTCTAAATATGCCTGCATAGGACAAAAATTAGGCACCTACCTGACAACTATGGTTGACATTGGAGGCTCCTTTGTGTTTTTATTCCACAGATGGCGTTTCTTCCACCCCTGATTTGCATTGTTGTTGACTTTTCTTCTCCACAGGGGCATACTGCCTGGTTTGGGGGTCAGATTAATCTCTTTGGGAAATTGATGTCTTTCTAAGATCCTTTCTAAGCCAGAGAATTCAGAATTCTCACCTAGTAATAGAACAATCATTAATACAATTCAATGTTCCTTTCCATCTTTGCATAGCAAGAGTAAGATGCCATTAGTTTGAGAAAGACTGTTTGTGCCACTTAATTGCTATTGAGGTCTGCCATTTCTTCATTCCAAAAATATCAGTGAGCAACACTTAGACTGTAGCCTGGTTCTAGACATCTAATAGATGCACAGCAAGAAATGAGTGAATGAACGAACAAAGCAGGTGTGCTCGTACACAGGTACTGAAGGTCATTGGTATAATCTCTGCATGATTCTCAAACGAACGGTAAGTAACTGGACTACTATTTTTATCTTCAGCGATATTAACCACACTCTGCATTGACATCACATCCAGTGCTTCACACTGACCTCAGTTGGCCCCTAACCAAATCGCCCATCCATAGTGACACAAAGAGCTTGTGCCAGAATGTAATCCAGTACACTACTCCTTCCTTCATTAAAACCATCTCCAAAAGGAAGGAAGGGAGGGAAGGAGAAAGAGGGAGAGAGAGAGGAGAGAGGAAGGGAAGGAGAAGGGGAACCACGCAGGGTGTTTAGTGACATAGCTGAGTTATCTTGTAGTGTAAGCTTGTTATCTCTTTGCCAACTGGTGACAATTTGAGAAGCGAAAGCCAGTTTGCAGGCTGTGCTATGAGCATCTCTGCAATCCATTTGGGTGCGTAGAAAATAAGCTGTTGCACACCTACCGTAGGAAGAGAAGCTGAGCCTCAGAGAGACTCAGGGGGAGCCTGCATTGCATTAGGAATTAGATCAGTGCTCGTCCGGCCCCCATTATTTCTCAGGCTGAATCCCTGAAGGTCCCTCCTAGGCAGGGTAATTGACAGAGACCTAAGGGACAAAGAATTGGCTCAAGGGACCATAGGTTGGCATTCGGACTAAATGGTTTAATGACTTGATGAATAGATTGATCCTTAGAGGCCAGAAAAACCACTCCAAGTGAGTCAAGAGCAGGCCTGGAATATGGAGCTCCTGCCCAGTGGGTGAAGGCCAGGGCTCTTGGCAGCAGTTTATTAGCTCAGTGGCCACACAGCTGGGCCGCCCAGAAGCTCCCACAGGCTTGCCCGAACAGTAGGAAGAGCATAGGGTTTTCTCTGGTTGTCAGAATTTCAAATCTAATGAAATGGACAGCAGTGTACACGGCAGGAACTCTACCAGTTGCTAAAGATGTATCAATATTCATGTCTACACTGGGAGGCTAAGAGAACA